CATAGCAGCACAATCTACAATAGCCAGAATCTGGAAACAGCCGAGGTGCCCGTCAGCTGATGATTGGATCCAAAAACTTTGGTACATCTACACAATGGAATACTATGCTGCCATAAAAAAGAAGGAATTCTCATCATTTGCAGCAACCTGGATGGAATTGGAGAACATCATGCTGAGTGAAATAAGCCAATCAATGAAAGAGAAACACCACATGACCCCACTCATTTGTGGATAATAAAGATCATTATAAACTGATGAACCAAAAGATAGATATAGAGACAGTAAAGCAACAAGCAGATTGTCAAATTACAACGGGGAGGGGAGGAGGGTCTGGGGGAGACAATAAATCAACCCAAGGACTTGTATACCTGCATATAAGTACAACCAATGGACATAAAACTCTGGGGAGGGAGGGGATACATGGGAGGGAAGGAGGGGGGCAAAAAAAAAATCAATAAAATATGTAAAATAAAAAAAAAAAAAAATCAATAAAACATATTATATACAAAAAAAAAAAAAAAAAAAAAGAATAATACGCATGTATAAACTACAAAATGTGAAACGTGTAATTTATATGATTCCATATACAACTTAAGTGCTCTTGAATATCCATTTAAAAGTGGCACTGCACAGTATAAGGATGAGCATTAAACTGCACACCAATCATTTAAATTTTTAATGTTCTTATATTGACATTAAATAGCAAATAAGAACACCACGTCAAGTCAAGGGAGAGAGATGGCATGAGAGGAAGAAAAATGCTTTACCTTTTAAGAACTTTAATGACATTTCTCCCCTGACTTCTGAACAGGGAGCTCCACAGTTCCGGTCTGCACTGGGCCCTACAAATTATGTGCCTGGCCCTGGTCCCATGGCTTTAAGTCATGTCCATAAGCACTGATAAAACTGGTTTCCATCCAAGGCCTTTTCCCAGTGTGGCTTCTCTAGACCTTGTTCTGGGCTCCAATTGGGACCAATGGAGATTATTTTCCCCTTTGGTACAATAAAAAATAAAAAAATAAAAAAAATAAAAATCTCTCCCAAATATAGCTCTAAATGGATGGGGGAATGGAGGTAAAATGTCACCGTAGGGGCTTACCAAAAGTCAGAGTGTATGCCCTATGCCACGGACAGAGGCCTAGGCTGACTCCCATCTTGTCTTTAAATCCAATGCCGGGCCTGTCTGCACCGATCACCACTGGTATTTCAGTTTCAAATATCATTTGGAAAAAACCAGCAAAGTCATTATGGGCTGCAACCTTTTGATCACACCCCAGCGGAGGCCACCACAGCCCCGCAGGAACAGCTGAAGGAGCAAAGGCTCTGCCCTTCAAGAGGTTCTGCACAGGACATTCCACGGCCCCAGGGAGTCCTGTTTGGTTGAAGGTCAAGGGAAGTTGATCAACAGGCCAATACATGCTTCCTTTGCAGCCCTGGTAAGGATTAGATTCCTGTACTGCCCCAGGCAAGTGAGGAAGTCTTTTATAACCATTGTATCAAAGACATTAGGATTCTTAAGGAACAAGATGCTTCCCATCTCTTTCCTTGAATTTCTTAGAGAATAGAATATACATAGCCAAGTCCTGGCATCTTGTACCACTGGCCAGATCCCTACTAATCAGAAGAAGTGCCAATCCAGAACAGATTACAACTATGAGCAGACTGCCTGCACACCCTTCGTGTGGTCCCTTGATGTCATCCAAATGGATTTTTTTCCCAGCTGCCCCCTTGTTATTATTGTCTTGGAGCCTTGCATGCAGAGTACAAGAATCCGTTGAACCTAGTTTCCTCCAGAAGCTTCACAACAGTCTTTTGTTTAGTGCTGTGGTACCCTTAGCAACACAGCCGATACCTGCAGGTACTTCTGGGCTAAACCAAATGCCTTCTAACCACCAAACCTCTACCTCTCTGCACAGCTGTGTGGAGGAGGATGGATCCTTGAGAGAACACCTTTAGACTGCTCCCACCTCGAGCCCGCTGGGCTTCTCAGCTGGCACTGCAGCCCCAATGGAAAGGCCAGTTACCTTTTTGCCAGAACAAACTTGCAGTAGCTGTCTGCTTCCTTCTGGCACACGAGAGGGAAGGACAGCTTACAGGCCACAATGCACTGTTCTCACTCTAACAAGAACAAAAGCAACCATCGTTCCTTCCCTTTCCATTAAATAAGAACTGTAAATGCATGTTTAAAAAAATGTATATCACTCTTTAAAATAATCTGCATGAAGATATTTTAATGAGATGTAAAATGCTTCGGGCATATGGTAAGTGGAAATAAAAGCCGGATACCGGAGGTCCTTTGTTTATAAACAGTTTACATTTATGTATAGAAAAAAAAATAGAGGAAGGAACTAACTATATCACAATGGATTCCTTTAGGTGGTGGGGTTAAAGGGATTTTTCTATTTTCTCTCTTAACCTTTTGGTATTTTCTAAAAGATAATACGTTTTGTAGGTGTGTATTACTTTCTATAATCCCACAAGAAAGAACACGTTTCTGTTTGCTGGGATCTCTGCAATAGTAGTAACTGACTTTATGCACTGCCCAAAGGAAGCCATCAGCCTTCTACTCCTCTGGGTGACTTCTGGGTGGGTCCTTTCTCCCAGTTGAATTTTCTGTACAGGATACCTGTTTTGGCTTTGACAGGACTGCTCCTTTATGTGAAACTTGTCAGCATTTGGAAACAGCCCTGTCAGAACTTTGAATCAAGATACTGTATTTCTTTCTCCTGGCTACCAGGGCTGAGAGCTCCCAACAGGATTTTCAGAGTGTGAGGGTTCCAGAGTCTATCTGAGACCGGATTCCAGGGGGAGAGAGTCTAGACTAGAGGACGCGGGTTTTGTCTAGCAGGGTGTGATGACAAGAACGTAGGTTTGGAATGGCATGGCTCTAGAGCTGCAGAGGTTTTTTTTTCTGTGCCAAATGGATGCTCATATTTCTTTTATTGAGTTGCTTTAAGGATTTAAAAAGACTGTATGTAGAGGGGGCCTAGCAGAGTGCACACAAGTTATTAGTGCTAAGAACCCGAGAAGGCAGCAGAGTGGACAGCTTTTCCACTTCCACCCCTACCCACAACACACCAAAGTTTTCCAAAGTGCATAGGGGTGGAAGGGGGGCAGCTGTCCAGATCTTAGCCCTGCCCTGACTAGGCTGGCCTGACCAAGGACAGACACACCTTTGGCGTCGCCATGGAAACATAACCACCACTTCTGGGCTGGGCGATCGGCAGTGCTAGCCACAGGACAGCAGCTGAAAGTATGGGGTGAGGGGCAACCCCAGAATGTCCATGGGTAATGCTTAGCATGACTCCATTACCACTCTGAAATCACTGCATTAGTGATCCAAATTGCCTCTTACTCCACCCGCAGCCACTCTGCCCTTTAACTATTCATCAGGCGGTAAGAAGCATGCCAGAGACTTACAGGAAATAAAGGGAATCGTGCTGGACCTTGCGAGGGATTGAAATAGCCCATCTTTGCTATCCTGCTACTTCCTCTGCTGCAGTTTTTTCAGGTTTTTTCTTTTTTTCCAGAACTGCTATCAGCACCACCATCTCTACAACTGCTGCTGCTACTACTATTAATTTTTGTAAACTACAATTTTTCAAAGCGCCTGGGTCTTTGCCTGATGAAAATAGTGGGCATGGCATTACGGGAAGGCAGGCTGGCACTAGAAACCTCAAAGGGAACAGCAGGTCTGCACTCAGGAACAGAGCAGAATGATCAATATATATATTTTTCATGCCCCAACTGCCTGGACTCTAGCCACATCCCCAGCCACACCTTGTCCCTCTCCCAACCCTACGCAGCTCCAATGTCTGCAGCTGAGTTAGGCGATGTCAAGGGTTAATGGACTTTTGTTTGGTTGGCCAGAGGAGCTGGACCATGCCCAAATCTCACCAAACCGGGTGGGAGAAAGAGGAGAGAATGCGTCTAACATCGAAGGCCATTGCCTCTGTCAGGATCTCCCACCTTCTCAGAGAATACTCTCCCCCCCACCCCCCAACCCCCCCAAGGACCCAGTCTCTTCCTTTTGCAGAGACTTTAAATTTCCCTGTGCCAAAGTTACATGTTCAGGTCACGTTTGACTTTGGTCCGCAATCCCCAAAGTGAACTAACTGGGGGGATGCCTACCTCCCCTTCTCATCCCAGCAGAGGGGCTCCTTCTCTCTGTGCACCTAGCAGCCAGCTGGTGTGAGGACCAACAACACTACACGGAGCGAGGAGGAGGGAGGGAGAGAGGGAGGAGAGTGAGGAGGTAGCACAGTGCCCCAGCCCAACCTCCAAGGAGGCTCCCTTTGAGATCGCCCTCTTCACCTGGCAACCGGGCCGGCAGGGCTCCGGGGAGGAGAAAAGTGGCATTTTGGAATCCATTTTGCTCAAGACGTTGAAGGCATCTTGGCAAACTTCCCTTTGCTACTTACTGCCTTTGCTACCGGGGCCAAGTGAACTCGGGGCAGGGCCTCACCCCTAAGGGATGCGGTTATCTGGGGAGGAGGAGAGGGCCGTCTCCCGCGCCAGTGGCACCTGCCGGGGAGAGAGAGCAGTGGCTGGGCACACACAGCGTGGGTGCGGGTGGCCCGCCCTGGCGCTGCTCCCCGCATTGGACCCACGTCCACGGGGGAGTGATAGTAGCAGCAGCCGCCTCCAGGCCAGCTGGGATCCCTTCTGTCTCTGTCCGGTTATTTATAGGCGCGGTTTACGGTGGCTGCGGGGGCGGGGGGGGGGGGGAGGCGCGGGATGACAATGAGCTTTGGAAGGTATAACGCGAAAAGTCACACTTTTCCCCAAAGCGCCCCCCCTCTCACGTCCTTCCTCCCCGGAGCCCTGCGGGGGAGCAGTGCGGTCCCGGCGGGGGAGTGCGCATCGCGGGGCGCCGCCGCGGTCCGCTGGACCCCAGGCCCGGGCCGCGCAATGGGGGCCCCCGGCGGCTGGCGGGAACCCCGGAGGCCCCGAGGCCCGGAGGGAGGCCGGAAGGAGGGGCAGGGGGCACGGCGGCTCACCTGCCAGGCTGTTGTAGCAGTCGATCTCGATGGCCTCCACCGTCCGGCTCTGCTCCTCCGAGAGGCGGCTCGGGTGCGGGGCCCCGGCCGGAGAGGCCGCGCGCGAGTCCCGCTCCCCGGGGGCGGGCAGCAGCCCCTTGAGCTCCAGCAGCGCCCGGTGGTACTTGCCGATGGCTTCGCGGAATTTCTTGTCCTTGTAGCACTGCGAGCCTTGGCTCTTGAACTCGTGCGCGCGCCGGATGGCCTCGGCGGGCTCGGCCGCCGCCCCAGCCTGGCCCCGCGCCGGAGCCCCGCCGCCGCCGCAGCCGCCGCCCGGGGCGCACAGCGGCGGTGGCGGCCGCTGCCCCTCGCCGGCCCCCGGCGGGCTCGGGTTCCCTTTGGTCCCGGCCGCCGAGCCCTTCCACTCCATCCGGCCGCCGCCCGGCACCCCGCGCGCCGCCGCGCCCTCCGGTTTACTGGCGGCGGGCGCCGGCCCCGCGTCTGGCGAGCTCGGCCGCGGCCTGGACACCCCGCGGCGGCCGGCCGTCCCGCACTCCCATTCTCCTCGCCAGCTGCGGGAAGCTGCGCTCTCCTCCTCCTCCTCCTCCTCCTCCTCCTCCTCCTCCTCCTCCTCCTCCTCCTCCTCCTCCTCCTCCTCCTCCTCCTCCTCCTCCTCCTCCTCCTCCTCCTCCTCCTCCTCCTCCGATTGCCTTCCCCTCCTCCCTCCCTCCCCTCGCCTCCCTTCGGCCCGCCTCCCTCCCGCAGCCTGCGGGGGTGAGCACCCGGCCCCACGCCTCTGGGGCTAGCGTTGTGGGGGGCTGCGGGCCTGACTGGGGTGGCGGGGACGGTCGCTGACCCGGAAGGAGCTTGGCTCGCCTGAAAGAGGGGGGATTGGTGACAAAAGCGGGCCCCTTATTTCCCATTCAATCCAGTCCTCTGAGACGCGCCTAGTCTGAAAGGCAGGGCAGGGAGAAGGGGTGTGTGTGTGTGTGTGTGTGTGTGTGTGTGTGTGTGTAGGTGTGCGTGTAGGCGTGTGTGTTTTGTGTGTGTGTGTGTGTGTGTGTGTGTGTGTGTGTGTGTAAATGTGTGTGTGTGTATAGGTGTGCAGGGAGGGGGCACGCCAGCGACGAAACGCGTGCAGACTCACCCTCGATAGATTTCTTAGAAACTAAAAACAGAGGTGCAGCGAGGAGCAAGGGGCGTAGGCATGAGCCGAGCCGTAGCTGTTCTTTTCAGCGAGGCAGTGGCATCGTAAGGGGCAGGGCCTTTTCTGTGTGGATCCGGGCTGTGGCCGAGGTGTGTCTCCGCGTGTGGCGCCGGAGCGCCCGGGCACAGCGCACGCCAGCGCGGGGCGTGTACCCCAGACCGCTGCGCCGTGGGAGTCACGGACACCGAGATGGAAAACACCTGTTCCTGCCGGTCAGCAGGCTGGGCGCGCAAACCTCTGGTTTCCGCGTCCAGCACAGACTTCATCCTTAGGTCAGCCCCCAGTGATGGCTGGCTGCGGGGATTTTGTGGAAACCCAGCGGCCGAGGGAGACAGGCAAGTGGCTGCCCAGCTCTCAAGTTAACTCCCAGTCTCCCAGGGCAGGGGGACTCCGCCCACCCTTAGGTCACTCTTCCAGATACAGGGGTCACTCTTCCCTGGGTATAGACTACCAAGGGAGGACAGACAGCGCCGCGGAGCGCGGAGAAGGGCAGAGAAGTGGCTCTTTAAGCAGACTTTATAGAGGGTTGGCATTGGAGGGCTTTGAAGGATGGGGGGTAGAACTTGGGCATGAGGAAATAGAAGGAAATGACATATCAGCCAGAATGAGAAGATAGAGCAGAAATCGTGGTGTTTGACATCTCGAGTGAGTTTAGGGCGGTAGTGGCCTAAACAGAAGTAGTGGGAAATGATTGGGGTAAATGATGGAGGTATTTGGATGAAGATGTGGGTTTTATTTTGTAAGCAATGGAGAACCCTGACTTTTTTTTTTTTTAAGTATTTCCCCACTTATTTATGATGATATATATTAATATATACTGAGTGGCCAGATTATTATGATCTCTGAATGCATAATAATCTGGCCACTTAGTTTATATCCTATATAATATTGTAAAAGGCTAGTATGCAAATTGTCCCCTTGACCAGCAGGCAGGCTGGCAGGACCCCACCCATGCAAGAATTCATGCACTGGGCCTCCAAAATTTATATATATATATATATATATACATATATATATATATATAGTCAGTGGTTTTCAAAGCATGGTTTCCACACCTGTAGCATCAGTGTCACCTGGGAATCTATAAGAAATGTACATTCTAGGGTCGTGCTCCATTTCAATTAAAATCTGAAACTCTAGGGTTGGGGTTTAACAACCCTCTGGTTGGTTCAGATGCACACACAAGTTTGAGAACCCCTGCTCCAAGACCTCACTACTCAAAGTGTAGGCCTTGGACAAGTAGAATCAGCACCACCCAGGAGCCTGTTAGGGAAGCAGAATCTATAAAAACCCAGACCTATAGACCCAGAATCTGCATTTAAAAAGGTCACCAAGTGATTCCTATGCCTCCAATGAGTGTGAGAAGCACTGCTCTAAAGGATTTGCAAAGTACAGAAGCAGATAAAAAACCCTAACCCTGCATAGTCACTCAGATATATTCTTCGTTAATATTCTGATGGAATCCCTATGGGTTGCTTTCTATGCATCTATATTTGTACCAAGTCCTCTTTTAACAAACATGAGTGGTATGAGACGATATATACAATGTTCTACTCTTTATTACTTTACATTATATGTGATTAGTCTTTGAAAGCCTCGTTTTCGTGGCTTTATAATACTCATTTTATGTCTGTATCAGTGCACTTAACCATTTTCCAATTATTTGCTATTATATTGAATACTATGATGATAAAAATAATAATTTCTTCATAGTGCTTACTTTGTGCCAGGCACTGGGTTAAGCACTTTACATACAATAACTCATGCAATCTTAATAATAACCCAGTGAAATAGGCACTATAATTATCCCCATTTAAAATACATATATATTTTCATTGATTTCAGAGAGAGGAAGGGAGAGGGAGAGATAGAAGCAGCAATGTTAAGAAAATCATTCATCAGCTGCCTCTCTCACGCCCCCTAGTGGGCGATCCAGCCGGAAACCCAGTGTCCACAATCAACCACCTAGCCCCTTGGTTGGCAAACTGCGGCTGGCGAGCCACAAGCAGCTCTTTGGCCCCTTGAGTGTGGCTCTTCCACAAAATATCACCGCCTGGGTGAGTCTATTTTGAAGAAGTGGTGTTAGAAGAAGTTTAAGTTTAAAAACTTGGCTCTCAAAAGGAATTTCAATCGTTGTACTGTTGATATTTGCTCTGCTGACTAATGAGTTTGCCAGCCACTGATAACCACACCCACCAGGCTATTATCCTCATTTCCAATACCAGCTCACCGAAACTTGCCCAAGGTCACACTGCTAATAAGTAGTGGAGCTGGGATTTAGATTTAAGCAATCTGCTATCAGGATCTATACTCTTAATTATATTTATACTTAAATTTGTGTCATAATTTATTTTTCCTTACAAGAAATCCTAATGTCAATTTCTAAAAATGTCTTGAAACATATTGTCAGTTTCCCTTTCAGAAAGGTTGTAGTAATTTGTGCTTCCACCAGCAATGTACTAGTTTCACAATATCCTTGCCAACAAATGAGAGATAAACTTAAAAAAAAATTTTTTTTCTAACCTAATAAATGAGAACTCTCCATTGAATGAACTGGGATTTCTTTAATTATAAGATTGGACATTTTTCATACGTGTAATTGCCATTTATAGAGTACTGAGGGCCTTTTGACACAATCTTACTGTACTAAATGATATGTTATAGGACCTTACTTCAACATCTTTAATCTCACTTAATCCTCGCCTTAGCCTCAGAGGAGGAAAATGATTCTCTACTCACACAACGGTTTCTGACCAATGAGCTATCATAGTTCACTGGTTAAGAGGCTTTGGGCTCAGAGAGGTGTGTGGGCTGGAATTCTATCTTTGCTGCTTCCCGGGAAAGCTACTCAACTTATGAAAATGTCAGATTTCTTCATTCATTAAATGGAGATATTACTTACTTCATAGAATTCTTGTGAAGCACACTGTGAGAGCTGAAGAGATGGTAAGTTTAATCTTTACTCATTAAATCCTGTCTATTGGATCTCATAAAAATGTTATGGCAGCCCTGGCTGGTGTTGCTCAGTTAGTTGGAGTGTCATCCATGTACCAAAGGGTCATGGCTTAGATTCCCAGTCAGGGCATATACCTAGGTTTCAGGTTCTAATCCTGGTCGGGGCATGTATGGGAGGCAATTAATTGATCTCTCTCTCTCTCTCTAAAAAAAAATCATTTAAAAAATATAAACATATACTCTGGGTAAGGAGTCAAAAAAATGTTATGGCAGACATATTTGCCAGCCCCTGGCCTTTTTTTACTTTAAGGTATTGTATCAGGTAGAAGAAAGGGAAGATACTGGGGGTTGGATGCTCTAAGTTTTTATTTTAAAAAAATATATATTTTATTGATTTTTTACAGAGAAGAAGAGAGAGGGATAGAGAGTTAGAAACATCGATGAGAGAGAAACATCGATCAGCTGCCCCCTGCACATCTCCCACTGGGGATGTGCCCGCAACCAAGGTACATGCCCTTGACCAGAATCGAATCTGGGGCCTTTCAGTCCACAGGCTGACGCTCTATCCACTGAGCCAAACTGGTTACGGCGGATGCTCTGAGTTTTTAAATCATTAACTTCCTGCTCAGGTAGGAAGAGCTACTGATGGCAAATATTGGATGAAGATCTAAGTGTGGGATTTGGCTACTGTCCGAAATAAGACGTGGGTAATGACGATCATAACTGTTTAAAGGTGAGAAATACTGATGTACCAACTTGCTTTTTGATTTCCTGCTCTGTCCTGGCTTAATAGTACAGTAGCTTGTGCTTAGATTTTGGGTTTAAGGACAGGGCTGCAAGAGACATGTATTCCACGTGGTGCTCAACTGTGTATGAAGCAGAACTCCACATGAGAGCTTAGTACTAGCTTGGATGAAGGAGAGCTTGGGCGAGGAAGGGAGGGAATATTACGGGCAGCGGGATGCAGTGAGAGGAGACTTACTATGCCCATCTGTCCCGCTCAGCAGAGCTGTGTGGGTATGTCTAGAACTGTTTTGTTTACTTGTTTTTAGCATGTTTCTATCTCTGTCTAAGCCACTCATTGGTACATTTGTGCTGGTTTCTCGGAAATTTTCTCCCTTCAAATGTAATTAAAGAGGTGCCAAAGAGAATTTCTCAAGTATCCTGTCATAACTATTGACCATATGCAGAGTACTATTTTTGGAAGTGAGCAAAGATCCAAACAACAGACAATTTTGGGCATGTTTGTAGGATTCAGAAACTCCGTG